CTCTGTGTGTGTGTGTGTTTGTGTGTCTGTGTTTGTGTGCGCGATAATAATATTCAAAAGGATAAAATATATCTTCCGACACAACCATTACAGTATTTGTTCACATGCAGCATAAATGTAAAACTGTTTAAATGAAATATACTGTATATTTGTCAAAGGGTTCGATCTCCATCTCTGGAATGGATCCACAGATGAACTTAAACCATGTCATTCTCTCTTTCACTTCTTTGGACCGATACATGAAGAAAAATTAGTCTATAGTTTTGAGACTGTAATGCAGAACTCTAAATACACAGCAGGTGAAGAGAAGAGTTTTTATGTTTTTAAATGTTCTGCTGGCAATAGCAGATGTATTTTGAACACCAAACCCCAAAAGCTATATCATTTTAAAGCTTATTTTCTTATCTACATTTATATACAAGTGTAAACTACATCGGACTTTGCATTCAAAAGATATAACACAAAATGTGGGCACAAAATAAATCAATTCCAAAATAGTTTTTTACCTTTGGGCTTGTGCTGTACAAATAAATCAGCTCTCCTCCCTGCTTGCAATACATCATTCTCTCTGGAACAGTTCAAAGGAAAATTATATCCACTTGTATTTTCCAAAGTAAAATCCATTCTGCAGAAATAATCCAAAAATGTGCATTTATCTTTAGCGAAAAAAACGAAAAAAAAAGAGCACAGATGTTACTCTTTCACTTTTAACGGACTTTTAGCTTTGTTTTTCACCCAAACATCTGGTATCTACGTGTTCCTTAGCTCCTTATCTTTCAAATGAGACTACTCCCGAAAAGCTAGACCAATTTTTGGGTCTGCAAGAGCTCCCGCGAGTACAGCTAGTGCTGCTGTTTGCGCATTGATCACTGATCTTTGTTGTGATCTCAACTTGTTTGCTTTTACTTCCGGGATTTACGATTGACATGTCCTTGTAGCCAATGAGGAAAGCTTTCGAACAAGGGGTGGGACAATGGTGTCCTGTCTTATGTTGGGCCTGGACCATTGTGCGTAATGGCAGCCAAAAGACGCTCTCGAAGCTGCAATGAATTTACACTCATAAAAAAATAACTTTGACATTTAAAAAAGAAAAACACACATAGATTAGTAACTTATAAGTACCAATAATAAAAAATATTGTTTTTATGATGATTAAATGTAAGTAAAGATATTTGGCACAATTTGGCACACTTGTGCCAAATTGTGCCAAATGTGCACTACTTGATGAAAAGGAGAAACTGCATAAAAACTATAAAACTTAGAAGTCTGAAACTTTAGACAGTTGTTGTCAACAACACAATGAACAGAGGGTTTGAATATTGTGAACTTACAATGAAGTATGCCTTTTTTAGGGCCTTTAGAAATTGAAAATGTTAGGCGAGGCTAAAAAAATTGGGTTTTTTTCCCTAACTTCAAAGGATGCAGAGGAAAATAGGAATGACAAACATTATTTTAGTGTTTTTTTACATAAACTAGAAGGCTCTAGCTTTAAAATGATGCATCACACAAGCATGTGAGATGTAAGATGTGTTTTTAAATAAGCAAAGACATTTGGGTATGCCAAACTTTTGTGCACAAGCCAAAATGAGGCGGGTGTTAAGAGGAGAAAAATGTAAAAAAAAAATTCAAGCAGAAGATTGAAGTAAAAATATTTTGCACAGACTGACCGTAGAGCTGCAGCAGTGGTGTCAACCTGTAAAAACTGATGAAACTACAGCGGTTTTCGAAAACTTTTGAGGTGACACGGTGGCTGAGTGGGTAGCACTCTCGCCTCTCAGCAAGAAGGTTCTGGGTTCGAATCCCGGTCGGACCAGGGCCTTTCTGAGTGGAGTTTGCATGTTCTCCCCGTGTCTGCGTAGGTTTCCTCCAGGTACTCCGGTTTCCCCTACCACTAAAAATATGTACAATAGTTCTGGCATGCGCCTCCTGTTCGGCGACCCCGCTCCCATCTCTGTGTGGAGTGAGAGGACAAATGCCCAAAAAATAACAATTGTCAACCGCTTTGTGACTCTGGTCTGTGAAAGGCGGTATATAAATAAAGATTACTTACTACTTACTATTACAGTCTGAGAATTCACCAGATCTGTGTGGACGAGAATTGAATTAGCCCAAATACTTTTGTTGATGCCACCGAAATAGTCTTCTAAAGTCAATAAAGGCCTTCTCTTTGGTCTGTTGCAAAGCTATTGTTCTGTCACAATGTCATCATATGTAAAACACTTCATTAATTTAATCCAAAATAAAAAACCTCAATAGCAGACAGCTCTGGCTCGTCTTCCACTTTCCCGGATGTTTCTTGGAAAGTATTCAACGAGAGAAACCGAGAGTGTAGAAGTCCACAACACAGAACAATCTTGTGATAACACTTTATATTAATGGTACATGAGTTCATGCAAGATTCTCATGAACTAATGCATGAATTAATGCATGATTTCATGATACATTCATGCATTACTAGATCATGAATTCTCATGAACTAACATGATTACATGTAGGTTCACAGATAACTTCATCCATGAATTAATGGTTAAACTACTCTAATGAATTTAAATCTTAAAGAATCATCATGATCATGAGGATACCATGAATTTACTGAAACAGCAATGAAATGACAACAAATGATCAACCTATCATGATCATGAGGATCATACATGAACATCATGATCATAAGGATCATACATGAACATCATGATCATGAGGATCATACATGAACATCATGACTCGTGGTGGAAATCTACTGCAAATTATGTGCGACACAATGTGCAACTTTCGAGGACAACATTTACGGCAGTCATGAACTCATCATTAGCTAATCCTTAATACATCATGATTTCATAATGATTGTGTCCCCTCTACTAAAGTGAAGCAATGATTTAAGGATTGTTCCTTAGAATTTTTGTATGGAAAAACTATTTATTTTACAAACTGTTACACGTACAGCATCACCAAAGAAGTAGTAGGATGAAGTCATCCATGAACCAACATGGAATCATGTTATTTCATGAGAATTCATGATCTACTAATGCATGAATGTTGATATCATGCATTAATTCATGCATTAGTTCATGAGAATCATGCATGAACTCATGTACCATTAATATAAAGTGTTACCTATTTTTGTATCCCCAGTGTTTCCTCTAGAGGGGCCCTCTGCACTGGGAGCTGGGGTCTGCTGTGGCTGCGGGGGTCTGGCTCTTGGATCTAGTGGGGGTCTGGGGCCTCCTCTCTCCTCTGGGTCCTATGGGGGTCTGAATCCTGGACCTGGTGGGAGGTCTGGGGCCTCCTCTCTCCTCTGGGTGGTGTTTCGCCCCCTGTCGCTGCAAGCGGCTCTTTGCTCCTGGTGCAGATGGCTCCTTGAATGGCGCTTCTTCAGCTGGATACATCTGCACCCAGCCCTATATGTTTTCATAGTTTTACCTATTTTAACAATCTGTTGTGACTTTATATGTGTCTTTTTCTATCTGTGTGTGTCTGTGTGTGTGTGTGTGCATGCATTTTTATGTGTGTATGCATGTGGGTGTATAGTTATCAATAAAGGTGGTTTTGGGTGGGTCAGTGGGGCAGTGGGGTTTTAGGGGTGGGCATCTTGGATTGTTTTTAACTCAACTGTAAAGCACTTTGTGTTGCACTTTTTGTATGACAAAACACTTTATAAAATAAAATATGATTGATTTATTGATTCTCTTCTCCCCACTTCTCATAAGATCTCATTTTCAAATCGGTGCATGTGCCTCTTGCTGTCAGGTTTGTGTTGCTAGGGTCATCTGTTGCTATGTGCATCTTCTAAAACAGTGCATTTTTTTAATCAGAGCACTCGTGCAAAACTTTGGCTGTGACACAAATTGTTTTTGTCAAACTTCACTCGAGGATTTCTTCCACCATAAGACATCACTGCTGACCACTGATACTTAGACCACTGCTGACACTGCTGACACCTGCTGACACCTGCTGACACCTGCTGACACTGCTGACACCTGCTGACACCTGCTGACACCTGCTGACACCTGCTGACACTGCTGACACCTGCTGACACCTGCTGACACCTGCTGACACTGCTGACACTGCTGACACCTGCTGACACCTGCTGACACCTGCTGACACCTGCTAACACAAGCTGACCACTGCTGTCCGGACTGTGAGACTGCTGACCACAAAACGTGAGCTTTTCCACTTTCCCTGTTCTGTGGCTTTGTGTTTAGCCTGTGTTAGTCAGACACACAGTGACTTGGATCAAAGTTAAAGCAGGTTTATGTGAGTTTAGACACATCTATTAACATTTATGGACATTGGTCATCCACTCCTTATAGCCCAATGGCTTAGACGGTTTGATTCTCTGATCTGTGTTGGCAAATCCACAACTTTTTAAAGTCCAACAATAATGAAACAAAGTGCTACAGTACATGAGCCCTGCAGCTGGAACAACCCATTACACTCATTTAAAGCTGGGACACCTGACTTTCAAACCACAAAATGTGTTAAAAAATTCTCGTTCCTGTCTCTGAAACAGGTGGCACATGCATGTATTCTTGGCCTCAGTTACAGGGCTTTTTCTTGCAAGTATCAGCCTTATTATTAGATGTGTATGAAACAGCATGTTGAGGTCTGAACAGACTTGCTGTTGGGAAAAAAACATAAGGTATAAAATCTTAAACTTAAAAGTATAGTTAACCCAGCTTTAAAGTAACTTAACTAACATACTTTTACAAACAAGATGAAAACTTGGACTGTTTTGAGAGTAAGGAATTGATTATATGGACAATGTGCTCCGCTCTGCAAGGAGAACTGTGTGCTGTCGGTTCTGCAGGTTATTTATGATCTTAAACTGAGCTTATTCTTGTTCTTTTATCTTGTTTTAATCCTGTACTTTTAGCTTGTTTTATTCATCCTTGTCTGGTGCACACTGGGAACTTTTGCAGTTTTACAGTAACTGGCAAATTATATGAATCTGAATTCTCAGAAAACAATGAAATTAAGAATGTAGTGGCTCTCTGTTGTGTGAAATGTTTGCAGTTTTGTTTGACATGTTCTGTTCCTCCTCCACAGATCCTTGTCTTCCTTCTCCATCAAATCTCATGGCCAGGACTCTGCTTTTAAGCTAAGTCCTTACTCTCTAACACTGTGCCTGTCTCTTCTGCCAGCTTCTCTCTGTCCAGGAGGACCTCTCTCTACTCCTCTTCTTCTCTCCCCCCTCGCCCTTCTGTTCTTCCTCCTCCTCCTCCTTCTCCTCCTGCTACTAAGTCTAAGTCTAAGTCTTGCTCTGCTCCTAAGCTCCCTAAACCTTACTCTGCTCCTGCTGTTCCTCGCTTGGTCCCTGTGTCTTGGCTCCGCACTGTTCACCCTGGCAGGATCCTCTCTCGTCCTCCTCCCTCTGCTTATTCTACTCCTTCTCAGCGCTCCTCTCGCTCTCCTCCTCGTCCTCCTCCTTGCTCTGCTCCTTCTCCTCCTTGCTCTGCCCCTCCTCCTCCCAAGCGTCTTCAGCTCACCTCTCTGATTGACTCTTGGTTCGCTCCTCTTCCGTGCGTTCGTAAAGTTCCCAGACGCACTCCTACTTCTAAGTCTGCTCCTCCTGCTAAGGCTAACTCTGTCCCTATTGTCCCGCAGTCCGAGCCCACCCCTGCCATCCCTGGACCTTCCTCGCACCGGGCGGTGTCTGAGACGGCCCAGCACAAGCGCAAAAGGTCATGTGAGCCGGACGCCAAACATCCACCCAAAAAGCCAGTAAGGGCAGGCTCCTTTTGTGGCACCGGCACCTGCCACAGCTGATTAGTGGCATGTACACAACAAATGGCGTTTAAAACGGCATGTGGACAACAAGTGGCGTTTAAAACGGCATGTGGGGAATAAATGGCGTGTAAAGCGGCATGTGGACAACAAGTGGCGTTTAAAACGGCATGTGGGGAATAAATGGCGTGTAAAGCGGCATGTGGGCAATAAATGGCGTTTACAACGGCATGTGGGGAATAAATGGCGTGTAAAGCGGCATGTGGGCAATGAATGCCGTTTAAAACGGCATGTGGACAACAAGTGGCGTTTAAAACGGCATGTGGGCAACAAATACAGTTGAAAGCAGCCTGTACAAAACACAACAAGCAGCATTACTGGAGCTAGTGGTCCAGTGGCTCAGATGGAAAAGCACAGGTCTACGGTGTTGATGGTTGCTAGTTCAAATCCCCAGTGACTACCAATGACATTTGCTGATGTTGGGTCCTTGGGCATAACACTTCATGGAGAATGTCAGAAGTGCCATAAGTTGTTTGAAAAATGTTGTTTGAGTAATAATAATATATGTTATTGCATAAATTTGTTGAAAGACTTAATTTCATGTATTATATATAGTTTAAATTCTGGTTAAGCTGTGTCATCCAGTGGCGCACTTGGTTTATAACTGCCTCTCATGCAGAAGATACCTGGTTCAAATCCAGGACAGGTCATTATTTTTTCTTTGTCAGATTAAATACAAATTGAATATGTATGACATTATATATATATATATATATATATTCATTCATTCATTCATTCATTTCATTCATTTTCAAGCCCTTTATTGTCCATTTCTGGGTCAGGGGGGTGGCAATGAGAGCTGCTACCCAATGCTCATAGCACCAGTCCCTCGCTGATCTTCTGCAGGGGGTGAGTCCACAGGAAGATGGCTGCTATATATATATATATATATATATATATATATATATATATATTATATATATAAATAAAACAAAAGAAAATAAAATGATTTTTTTTTTTTTTTTTATATATATATATATATATATATATATAAATAAAACAAAAGAAAAAATCATTTTATTTCTCTCTCTTCTTTAATAAAACCACATCAGAAACATGGAACAATAAGAAAGAGCATTAATACATATATATTTTTTTAAAGAATGCAAAGTATAAGACACAGCTTAAACGGTCCAAGAACAGAAATGAAGATTTTAACAATATAGAGATGAACCTCATGTTCCAATTACACAACTTTCTGCTTGTGTTTTTCAATCCATCACTCTTCACCATCTTTGGTTGGCTCCATTCTTGATGAAATGTCCTAATTTAGCAACTAGCAACCATCAACACCGTAGGCCAGTGCTTTTCCATCTGAGCCACTGGACCACTATCTCTAGTACTGCTGCTTGTTGTCTTTTGTACAGGCTGCTTTCAACTGTATTTGTTTTACACGCTATTTATTCCCCACATGCCGTTTTAAACGCCATTTATTCCCCACATGCCGTTTTAAACGCCACTTGTTGTCCACATGCCGCTTTACACGCCACTTGTTGTCCACATGCCGTTTTAAACGCCACTTGTTGTCCACATGCCGTTTTAAACGCCACTTGTTGTCCACATGCCGCTTTACACGCCACTTGTTGTCCACATGCCGTTTTAAACGCCACTTGTTGTCCACATGCCGCTTTACACGCCACTTGTTGTCCACATGCCGTTTTAAACGCCACTTGTTGTCCACATGCCGTTTTAAACACCACTTGTTGTCCACATGCCGTTTTAAACGCCACTTGTTGTCCACATGCCGCTTTACACGCCATTTATTCCCCACATGCCGTTTTAAACGCCACTTGTTGTCCACATGCCGCTTTACACGCCACTTGTTGTCCACATGCCGTTTTAAACGCCACTTGTTGTCCACATGCCGCTTTACACGCCATTTATTCCCCACATGCCGTTTTAAACGCCACTTGTTGTCCACATGCCGCTTTACACGCCACTTGTTGTCCACATGCCGCTTTACACGCCATTTATTCCCCACATGCCGTTGTAAACGCCATTTATTGCCCACATGCCGCTTTACACGCCATTTATTCCCCACATGCCGTTGTAAACGCCATTTATTGCCCACATGCCGCTTTACACGCCATTTATTCCCCACATGCCGTTTTAAACGCCACTTGTTGTGTACATGCCACTGATCAGCTGTGGCAGGTGCCGGTGCCACAAAAGGAGCCTGCCCTTTCTCCAAAAAGCACAAGTCTTTGCTTTTTAAGAACTGATGCACTCTCTGTTTTGTTTCTTTCAAGGAGCAGAGAGCAACTGGGGCTCACAAGGCCGTGTCCTGGTGATGGGTGATGTGTGACTGTGTAAATATGTACTGTATAAAAAAAACAAAATAAACATGTTTGTTTTGTACCATTAAACGGACAGGTTTTGTTGTTACTGTAATATTATTGTTGTAGTCGGATCTCTTTTGGGTCCCCTAAAAAAACAAACAAAACAAACAAACACTGAAGCCACAACACTAGCCTGTCTTTGATATATCTCAGCAGGTCCAATGTACCCTAACATTTTTGATATAGCTGTGATTCACAGGTTTGCTCTTTAAGATAAAAAAGAGAAACAAGAACACAAGTACAGTTTAAATAGTAATTGCCACATACTGTAACTTCAAGAGACTTCCTCTGTTTTATATTTTAAAATGCAGTAAAACGTTGAAAATGGCCCAATCAGGAAATATACTGTACAGGTATAGCACAGAGTTATTTCTATGTGATGAAGTCCAGTAAATTAATTTGTTTGTTGTTTATGGCCAGTGAGGTGGAACAGATGAGTTGAGACAGTGGAGAGACGGAGTGGAGGAGGAGGGTTATTATCCATGTGTTCAAACCAAATACAAGGTAAATCATTTTATGGACATTTAAGTTGTCCCTTGAATTGTGCGTCACTTCAATGCATTATCATATTATCATGGGACACAGCAGTGACCAGAGCCGGGAGACAAAAAATGTCACATGCCATTAATATCAGAACAGATATCAGGTGGCAGTCCTCCCCCCTTGGACTGCCACCTTAACGTGGTGGGGGAGTTTGAGCACTCGGATGATCCTGGGAGCTATGCTGTCTGGGGCTTCATGCTCCTGGTAGGGTCTCCCATGGCAGACAAGTCTCAAGTGACGAGTCAGACGAAGCGCAGTCCGAAGCCAACCATGGACAGCACGACAATGAGAACCGTGACGTCGCCCGGCATGGCGCAGCCGGGGCCCCACCCTGGAGCCAGGCCTGGGGTCGGGGCTCGCAAGCGAGCGCCTGGTGGCCGGGCCTTAGCCCACGGGGCCCGGCCGGGCTCAGCCCGAAGGGATGACGTGGGCAGTCCCTCCTGTGGGCCCACCACCTGCAGAGGGGTCCGTGGTGGCGAGGTGCAGAGAGGACTGGGCAGCAGTCGAAGGCGGAGACCTCGACGACCCAGTCCACACACCCAACATCTGGCTCTTGGGACGTGGAACGTCACCTCACTGGGGGGGAAGGAGCCCGAGCTTGTGGGGGAGGTTGAGCGATACCGACTAGAGATAGTCGGCCTCACCTCCACACACAGCTTGGGCTCTGGAACCCAACTCCTTGAGAGGGGTTGGACGCTCCACTTTTCTGGTGTTTCCCGCGGGGAGAGGCGGCGAGCTGGGGTGGCCATACTCATTGCCCCCCATCTCAGCCGCCACGTGTTGGAGTTCTCCCCGGTGAATGAGAGGGTCGCGTCCCTCCGCCTCCGGGTGGGGGACAAGTCTCTCACTGTTGTGACGGCCTACGGGCCTAACGGTAGTGCAGAGTACCCGGCCTTCCTGGAGTCCTTGGGAGGGGTACTGGACAGTGCACCGCCCGGGGACTCCGTTATTCTCCTGGGGGACTTCAACGCCCATGTGGGAAATGCCAGTGACACTTGGAGAGGGGTGATCGGGAAGAACGGCCCCCCTGATCTGAACCCGAGCGGTGTTCAGTTGTTGGACTTCTGTGCCAGTCACGGCCTGTCCATCACGAACACCATGTTCGAGCACAAGGGTGTCCATCAGTGCACGTGGCACCAGGACACCCTAGGCCGGAGGTCGATGATCGACTTTGTTGTCGTATCATCTGACCTTCGACCGCGTGTCTCGGACACTCGGGTGAAGAGAGGGGCGGAGCTGTCAACCGATCATCACCTGGTCGTGAGTTGGATCCGCTGGCAGGGCAGGAGGCCGGTCAGACCTGGCCTCGAAGAGGTTCTGGCAAACCGTCCGGCGCCTCAGGAGGGGGAAGCAGTTCTTTGCCAACACCGTGTATGGTGCGGGTGGAGGGCTGCTGACCTCGACTGGGGATATTGTCGGGCGGTGGAAGGAATACTTTGAGGTTCTCCTCAATCCCCCCGTCACGTCCTCCGTCCAGGAGGCAGAGGCTGAGGATGTTGGGGCGGATACTTACATCTCCCTGGCCGAGGTCACCAAGGTGGTTGGCAGCCTCCATGGTGGCAAGGCGCCGGGAGTGGATGAGATCCGTCCTGACTATCTAAAGTCTCTGGATGTTGTAGGACTGTCTTGGCTGACACGTCTCTGCAGCATCGCGTGGCGATCGGGGGCGGTACCAATGGAGTGGCAGACCGGGGTGGTGGTCCCTCTCTACAAGAAGGGGCCCGGAGGGTGTGTTCCAATTATCGTGGGATCACACTCCTCAGCCTCCCCGGTAAGGTCTACTCCAAGGTACTGGAGAGGAGGCTACGTCCGATGGTCGAATCTCGGATTCAGGAGGAGCAGTGTGGTTTTTGTCCCGGTCGCGGAACACTGGACCAGCTCTATACTCTCCATCGGATACTCGAGGGTTCATGGGAGTTCGCCCAACCTGTCCACATGTGCTTTGTGGATTTGGAGAAGGCGTTCGACCGTGTTCCCCGGGGTGTCCTTTGGGGGGTCCTCCGGGAGTACGGGGTCCGGGGTCCTCTGCTGAGGGCCGTCCGGTCCCTGTATGACCGGAGTCAGAGCTGTGTTCGCATTGCCGGCAGTAAGTCAGACCTG